GAGAGAGAGAGAGAGAGAGAGAGAGAGAGAGAGAGAAGGCAGAGTCAGTGAGATGTTGGGCAGTTGACAGTTGACAGAGGGGAAAGATGCAAGCTACCAAGTGGAACCTTGCTGGTAGGCCATGAGCCTCATGGTAAAATATAAAATAATAGAAATGAGTTAAATTAAGATGTAAGAGTTAGCCAATAAGAATCTAGAGCTAATAGGTCAAGCAGTGATTTAATTAATACAGTTTCTGTGTGGTTATTTCAGGGCTGAGCAGCTGGAAACAAACAAGCAGCCTCCTTCCAACAAATTGGCATGCCAAAGTGGTCAACTGTATCCATGTAAAACCTGAGAAAACTTAGTAAGGAATCCTAGACACAAAAGAACAGAGTTAAGCATGGTTTGGTACTGGCATTTTCTTGGGTGAGCTCAGTCTGCTAGAAGCAATCAGAGGCATGATTCCTTTAAGAGAGGTCTTCCTGATTCAGTGGCAGAAAAAAAAAGCAGTTTTGAAACAGCAGTTTCCTGGGCCCTGATACTAGCACAAACTCTGACTCTTTCAGGAGCTCCAGCTATGGAGCATTTCAATGGGGTCTGTGAGCAGAGTGATCAACTTGCTTAATGACAACATAGTCTCCCTGTGTGCCTAAAAATGGGTCAATGTACATAACTCTCAGAGGTGGTGAAATGCCTCCGCCATGTTGGACTGGGCAGAGCAAGCAGGCAGGGCTGTGTTTGATGCCGCAGGGCGATCGGTAATGAAAAGTCCCCAGACTATCTTACAAAAGATACAGCTTTAATAAAAACAGAAGGGAAAACTTACACAGAATCTCACTCTGCTGGAACGCTGGATCCAAGCCAGGTCGAGAGAGAGAGAGAGAGAGAGAGAGAGAGAGAGAGAGAGAGAGAGTAGGTTGGTTGAGTCAGTGAGATGCCACAGAGCACCGAGAGGGGAAAGATGCAAGCTGCCAGGTGGAACCTTGCTGGTAGGCCACAAGTCTTGTGGTAAAATATAAAATAAAAGAAGTGGGTTAAGTTAAGATGTAAGAACTAGCCAATAAGAATATAGAGCTAATAGGTCAAACAGTGATTTCATTAATACAGTTTCTGTGTGGTTATTTCAGGACTGAGCAACCAGGAACAAACAAGCAGCCTCCCTACAACAAGGAGAATATAAAATAGCTATGCTAAACAGACTTCAGACAGTCATAAAAGGATAGTGGTCAGAACTTTCATGTAAGACAAAATTCAAAGTGTTAAAAATACTAAAGTTTTCAAACAGTAATTAAGTGAATTATGGAAAGAGGAAAACCATCTTACATAGGTTTCAGTATATACTAGTAATATAATAAAGGACATAGATGTTTATTTATTATAGCTGCATCCACTGATACCATCTTCCTAAAGGTATTTGGTTATTCAAAACATCGTTGCCCAACATCCATCAAATCTATGAACTGCTGGAGCATGGGAAGAGAAAAAACTTCCAGATCCAAATCTGCAGAATATCCTCAACACAGGACAGCAATGGGATAGCCAAGAGGAGCCCCAGAGAGAGCAATTGCTACCGTATAGCAGAAGACTCGACCCAGACCAATGACTCATAGAAATGAACACTTACATGTAAAAATAAATGGACTAAAGGCTAAACCATGTACTCAACGGGCCACACTACAGCTTTTATGATGAGATTCTTCTCCTTTTTTCTTTTTCTTTTTTTTTGGGGGGGGAGGGGGATGTTGGTTTTGGTTTTAAATTTAAAAAATTAATTTTTATTTTCATTAATTTATTTTTTAAAAAGATATTTTCTCATTTTATTTACCTATCTCAGTTCCCACTCCCCCCCCTCCTCCTGTTCCCCCATCTTCCCCTCACCTACTCCTCAAAGAGGGTAAGGCATCCCATGGGGAGTCAACAAGTCTGACACATCACTTTGAGACAGGACCAAGGCCCTTCCCCCATATTTAGGCTGACCTAGGTATCCCCCTAAAAGAAATTGGTTAAATCTCAATTTTTTTCTTTTAAATTTTGTTTTGTTTTGTTTTGTTTTGAGGGGAGGTTGTGTGGACAGAGGGTGGAAGCGAGGGGATGGGGAGATAAGTGGGTTCAGGAGGCATGTGAAGTCCACAGGGAATGAATAAAAGTTGAAAAAGATCACTGGCTTATATATTTCCAAAAGTAGGTGTCTCTGAGAACTGTGAACTATGGAAGGAATCTAACCATGTTTTTCCTTCTTTCTTTTTAAAAGGCACATCATAAACTTGCTAATGAAATCTTAACAGTCTCCTTCATATTGACAAGGAGCAGCATCCAGAGGGAGCACATTTGTCTTCAGAAAGGTGAAGGTGCACGGTGGCTACCATTCGCCTGTGCTGCATGCAGACTTTCTATGGTCCTTTGGTGGCATTTCTTAGGAACTACGGGGTCCTAATGCAATCCTGTGCAAAAAATATAGTTTATAATATGCAAAATGAGACAGGACTTACTACTGGGAACTATGAGGATCAATTATCATCTATTTTAATTGTGCTTTATTAAGAAATACTTAAGTGTATGCAGCTACGTTCTTCTGTTGGAAAAACTGAACATTTAAAATATCATAGCAAATTATCAAAATTGAAAATTTTTGTCTTTTGTGGAATAATCTTTTTGGGCCCTGTGAGTATGTGTCGCTCTGTCTGATTTAATAAAAAGCTGAATAGCCAATAGCTAGGCAGCATTTGGGGAGCAAAAAGGATGCTGGGAAGAAGAAAGAAGACAAGGAGCTGTGGAGCTAGCTGGCGGGGAAGAAAAACTCGAAAAAAAGAAACTCGAAAAAAGAAATTCGTGTCAAAGCTGATGTAGTGAAAGGCAGTTGGTTTCTCATTTCTCATTAAAACTCAAAGAGTATTAGTTGTTTACTTACCAATTATGAAAGTAAGCATATTGATTACTAAAGGGAAATTCAAAACACTTAAAGAGCAACTTCTTCCTTGAAGTACTTCATAGAGTGGGGAAATTAGCATAAACTATGACACACACACAAGTTCTGCTCATTGGCCCAAATTTTGAAGTATTGTATATAAAAGGCAAAACACGAAAGAAAACAATAGATTATTGGGAAACTCACCTTTGAGTAGAACTCCTCTTTCAACATCCAACACCATGACCAACTCCTGCTGCTCCTCTTGCTGCCAGCCCAGCTGCTGTAGGACCTGCTTCCAGTCAAGCTGTGTGAGCAGCTGCTGCAGCACACCTTGCTGCCAGCCCTGCTGCTGTGTGTCCAGCTGCTGTAAGCCCTGCTG